TCTTTCTTTCTTTCTTTCTTTCTTTCTTTCTTTCTTTCTTTCTTTCTTTCTTTCTTTCTTTTTTGAGACAGGGTCTCCCTGTAGCCCTAGCTAGCCTGGAACTCATTATGTAGACCAGGCTGGCCTCAATTTCATAGAGATCTGCCTACCTCTGCCTCCCAAGTGCTGGAATTAAAGGCGTGTGCTACCATGCCTAGCTTGGTAGTGATTTTTAATTATATACAGATTGAAATCTACAGAAAGAGAAGGTTATTTTATTTCTTTTTAGTCACTATATAAATAAATGTACAAAATCACATGTAGTCTTGTGATTAATTATTGAGATTTGGGTTATACTAATCACCAGAAACTGGAAGCTATTCTGAGGATAACATATAGTTATATGTGATATAGTATATGCCGTATAAGTTGTATCTGTATGTTGTATAGAAGTGTTAAAAAACTAAAAATCACTAGAAAAGGAAAAGTTGGGTCCTGCACCAACTCGTGACTTAGGCATGTGGCTCTCTGTAGGCAAAGGTATCTCTACTAATCTTTAACCTATGGGGAATATCAGTGAAGAATCCGGTGCATTATATACGCAACTCAACATAACTGGTTAGAAGAGATGTTAGTGAATGAAATTAGTTTACCCCTGTAGGGAATGGCTTTGCTTCCAGGAGGGTGGGAGTAGTTCCCAATGGAAAGTAAGTCCCAGATAAAGATGTTGTTATGATGCCACATTATTGTTCTGCAGAACAACATTAAAGTTGTTCTTTATGTGAAAGTTGAAGATATGTTTTCCTTCTTCTTTTTTTTTTTAACTGATAGAAGTCAGACTGGCTATTTATGATGTACCATTATTTTATGTCTTTTGCACGTTTGGCCAGGAAGGGGAAAAGCAAGAAGGACCTTGGTCTCTTTTTTGGAGGGTGCATTATTTAACACAGTGCCAAATATCATGGAGGCTCTGCCACCACCACTTAGAGCTGTCTGGGCATTAGTAAAGTTCTTCACTCTCTCTGTGCCTTGTTTTCTCCATCTGTTTAGTGATGACTACAATCATGCCTACGTCATAGAGTTGTGCAGAAGCTAAAGTAACACATGCCCAGTGACTGGATTCAGAAGCGCTTAATTAATATTGGCTGCTGCTGCTCTATTGTTCTGTCTCATCTTTCTCCTAAACCTCCTCACTGAAAATATTTTGAAGTTGAATTGTGTCCTCTGCTGTTAGAATAGCAAAATATTCAGGCAATTTGGGAAAGGAATCAAACTGAAAGAACTTGTCATACAAACAGGATTCAGGATTTGGGCTTTGGATTAAGTCACTGATTTTCAATGGTCTCTTCTGAGAAATAATCAAGTTTAGAAAAACTGAACTCCTAAGTGGTTAATGAAAA